TTCTATGAAAATATATTGGTTTTTCTACTGAATATTTTTGTTTTCCTCAAAGTCAAATTTTGTTCTCAAATAGCTGACACACCCTGTAATAGCAACATGCATCTTTGGAAGTTCACCATAGCAGATTGCAGATGAAGTTCAGAGTTCTTCAGTAAATAAAAAAAAACAGATAATTAAAGAAAAGCCACACTCCCATCCCATACAGGATAATCGAAGGAGTATCAGAATTTGCACTATACATGCAAGTAATTGTACAAACTTCATAATGAAGTAATTGAATTCCAGCATTCAAAGACACACAGCACCATCATATTGAAAATTTGATGCAGGTCAAACCCATTTGGTTGAATTTTAATTCAATGATTATGTTTGATACACTATGTTTGATAACAAATTCACTGGGAATGGAGAAAAAATTTGGCAATTCTTTAGTCACATGTCAAACTTCCTCTCGGGACACTCACTAAAACAGTGGAATTTCTGAATGGGATGCAAATTGAAGTTGTGTTTATCCAATGATGCAGAAATCAACAAGACTAGTCATGTGCACTCTATTCAGCTCACCCAAAAGTTGTGTCCAGCTCATGTCATTAGGATAAAACATGTGCTGAACATCAGGCCAGCTGACACTTCCATGGGTAGCTGTAAGGTTTTAAAGTAGCAACATTTCCAACTGCCTGTCTTGAAAGAGCAATTTAAAACCTTGCAAGTATCATTCTCATGCAAAGTCACTTCTCTGTAATGTCACATTTTAGGAAACCATGTAATGTCAAAAAGTTCAGCAATATTTTCATTATACATTAGGTTAACATTATACAACCCTCACCCCTTTCCTCATCATCCTTCAGTCCACTTTGAACACTAATAAATCATTTCAGAAAGAAACTGTTTGAAACTGTCCCGTTCAACTTGACATGATGACATCACCTCAGATTAACTCATGTCAGGTTCTTTTTGCATGAGGAAATTACATTAGGGTGACCTGAATCACCTTCAATGAGATGGTGTCATACTTGCATGCTTCGTGCAAACTAGTTTTTCTTGAAGTTGGCGATGTTTGAAGTTGAAACCACACATGAATAGATATCATGCAGGAAACAATGCATGCATGGTCAAAATATTCACTTTTGAAGAGAAAGGAGAAAACAAGAGATGAGGAAGGACCTGAGACATGGCAGTGAAATTATGGCATAGATAGACTCCAAGCACGTATTGGTGAGCATGGTTTCCATCCCGTTGAAGCGTATCCAAACACATGAGCCCTTGTGACCCCACACCACCCGTTCGACCCGTCACCTGAGGTTCCGTTCATTCAGAGGATCAACATTGACAATAATGAAAGAAAAACCTGGTTGGCTGTGTAGCCCTCGTTGCAAGAATAGACGCCCAGCATGAAATCGGTGAGATCTGATGTCTCTCGATTTAACACGTCCAAGCAAAAGTAGCCGCTTCTCACCTAAGATTCCCAGTTTTGGTCAATAATGGTCATTTTGAAAAATCGCTTTCCATGAATGCAATGTGGGAAGCCATCAATGCAAACAGTACTCATTTTGAAAACGCAGTTCATTGTTTTTCAACTTCCAGTGTTTCTGGAAACGGATGAACTAAAAAATAATGAAACTCACCCGTCCATAATAGTATGAATGTTCATCTAAGATGAATTTGGAGGGGAGAATGTTGTCCAGGTACCACTTGAAGCTGTTACACTTCAGCTTCTTCCGTAACTCTTTCCTCTCACTCACATCTCCATAGTCCACTTTCTATCCCACAGCATTAAAACACATCAGACGATCTACCCTCTGTCAAAAATGCAATGCAAGCATAGGATGGGGAGACCTTAAGGTCAGGACGATGGAGATAGAAGAGCCGCTTGTAGTCGTCCATCCAGACCTCGGCCACACGCACAGTGTTGATCCCGTGGGTGTCCTTCCCCCCTGGGAAGGAATAAGGATGGAAATCTCGAAAGATGTGGCCCACATGTGAGCAAGGGATCACTTCCAGGCTCCCACCACACATCCACACCTGTCACAAAGATATGTAGCAGCACTGGAAGTGAAACTAGAATCCACTAAAAACAAATGCTCTTAGTACCTCCCTCCCTCCTTTCACACAATAATCAAATAATATGTTGTTGTTGGGCACTAAGATGGCTAAAGCAGTGGCATGAAATAAGCAAAAAGACAGACCCTGAAAGAAAGCTCCAAGTTCTCTCCTCCCCAGACATCCATCCCATCATCATAAGCTCCCAGGTCCCAGAAATACTGACGCTTCATGGCAAATAATCCTCCAGCCATAGTTGGGGACCTGGAATTAAGGAAAATTCCTGTCATTTTCCAGTAGATGTCCCCCTCAGAGTTACTGATGTAAGGGATCTCAAACCTGGTAGGCTCCACTGGCCCCCCTCGTCTAATGATTTCTTCATCAGGCACATTTGCCCATGTAAAATGTCCACTCCATGAAAATGATCCCACTTGGAAGTAAAGACCTCCATTATTGAAGTAGTGCAATGTTTTGTCATCAATCACCTCAATCACAGGTAAGACAATTGTCTTTGGATTCTCCTTGATCTGATGTAGAAGTGGCTCCAGCCTATTCCAGGGGAAATGGATGGTACCAGGAATTGGCAGATCACACACAGTTGTTGTAATTATAAAATATATATTAAGCAACAGTTCTCCTCATTGGAAGCAAGGAATATACTTACCACCCATAATTGGCCTCACAATGTGAATCAAGGTAGACGATGACTTCCCCAGATGCCTCCTTGGCTCCAGCTGTCCGAGCCCGGATGAGGCCATGCCTCTCCTTCAAGCGGACCAGTCTTACTTTCTCGGGGAAGTGAGTTTTTACGTACACTTCCAGCTTTTTCCCCAACTCCTCTGTGAAAACAACAAGATGCAATGGTGTCAGGAAGAAATATTTTCAAATTCAATATGGAAAAGACAATACAAGTTCTTACCCCGGTCACTGAAATCATCGACAAGGAGGATCTCGTGAAGTAGATGCTGAGGCGAACGATTAAGAACGCTATAAACTGTGCGGAAGAGTGGCGACCACGGCTCGTTCGTGAAAATGATGATGACACTGGCCTTGGGAAGGTCATGTCCATAGTCCTTCCCTTTGCATCTGCAATTTATATATAGCCTCGTTAAAATTTCATCACGCAACTAATACCATATCTCCTACGCACTCACAATTTATCTCTCGTATCGGGGACGGAACGATTGAGGGCAATTTTATCACTGAGGAGAAGGTTGAATGCTTCTTTCTTCATCACTTCCTCTGCCAGTTCCTTTTCCGTTCCCTGGAGTTCTTCGCGTCTCCCATCCTCGCCGAGCCCGGGCACCATCTTCTTTTCGAAGGCTCGAATGAAATCCATGATTTCTTCTTCCTCCTTGTGGGACCCCCACGGCTTGAGAGGTGCCGGTCTCAAGGAAGACCCCGGCGATTTCTTCTTCGAGCCGTCGCCGTTTCCCTCGAGCGATCCCGGTTCTTCTAGAACGGCAACTTCTTCTTTTTCTTCTTTTGCTTTTCCCTCTTTCACTATCACCTTCTGCCCCTGTTTCACTGGGTCCTGTGGCTGCCCTTGTGGCAATTTCACATCACCCTCCTTCACTTCTACTTCTTTTATGTGCCATGGAGTTCCCAGATACAGGAAAAGCAAGAACACCAGGCATAATGCTAGCGTGAGTTTGATGCGATTCCGCTGCCATAAACGTGTTCGGATACGTTTCCATGAAGGAATCATTGCAACCTCGTATATCCTCCGTATAAGACAGGCCTACACAAGCCTCTGCCGGGCCTACGTGGGAAACAGCCAAACATAACGTCAGCCTAGAAATACCTTTTTCATAACCATATACGAAGATGAGCGTCTAGTCCTACATTCACCTCGGCGTATCAAAGCGAAACAAATGCTATGTTATATTCTGTATACTCTATATACTCTTATCACAACACCCAGAATTTAGGTACAACTATAAGCATTCTGGTCAAAAACCGTAAATAGGACATCGTTGAGGCCTACGAGAATGGCGCCGCGTGACACGGGACCACGACCTCCACATCATCACCTCGTGCACGTACAAATTTCCGGGAAAGGATCACGGGATTAGCGGGCTCAGGGGCAGCCATGACATCCACCGTAGCCGTGACGTCACGAGGGACACGCGCCATCCACGTGGGTTTATGGCTCGGGGTGCGACGTGGCTCGTTTGGGGTCGGCTGACTTTCCGGCTCGGAAATGCACGATTATGTGAGTACTTGATTGCGAATCGCGTCAACGGATATTTCCCGCTTCGAAGGCAGGTAAACTTCTTACAACGAACGACGAAGGTTGACCTGTCCACATAGGCGCCGACTTCTAAAAAATATTTGGGGGGAAAGTTCCTAATGCCCCTGAAATATCAGTGACGGTATTTTTCCAGGATCCATCGGGGTAGCTCAGTATTATTATGGTAGCAGAGTGGCAAGCGGGGGATGGGGGCATGGCCTTCCCACCCCCATACCCTTATGGGGTGACACAGGGATCTCCCCCAATTGCAGCTCTAAACAGAAGGGAAAATCATATTTTTCATTTCTTTCGTGAAGCAGAATCTTATTTCCAATTCATGTGCCTTTTTCTTAAATTTGGCCTTTTTTTGGGAGGGGGGGGGGGGGGGGCCCGTGCCCCTTTGCCCCCCTGGGTTCGGCGCCTATGGTATAGGACCTAGACTTAAGATCGTTTCTTGACCATGATAATACATGGCGAACACACGTCGCAGATGTTCATTCGAGAATTTTAATTGTCTCATGGATGCCGTAGGGATGCTATCACCCTCCATGGGTATGGAACAAGGAATGGATAATCATAGTAATCATAAGTAAACCTATATGAAATGAAGGTCTACTGATTCCTACATTTTGATTTCGAATTATTTGCCTACACTCTTGATAATTGTATCAAAGCATCTTAGAAACAATATTCCAGTTCCCAACATAGATATGATATAAAAGTACACTGCTAGTACTGCTACGTAATTTCATGGTCAAATTTGTTCAGCAAGTCAAGAGAATTACTTCCAAGAATAAGTAATCATCCCTACATCGTTGCCACTGATGGAGTAACTTATACCATTTATCACATGGAATTTTGCTCATTATGCCATTAACTTCATGGCGTTTCTGTGAGAATCGTTGTCCAAGAGGCCAAAGCCCGAATGCTGAAACCAATTAAAACTACCTTTAAGCTAAATAGCTATTTTTCCCCAAAGGAGTCCATGGATTTATGACGGATATGA